ATATATATATATATATATACACACACACACACACAGATGAGGGTTCAACTTGAGTTAAATATATGTATATATAGATGGATTTACAGTTTACTGCTACTTTTGTTACTGTTTTTCTTTTTATGAAAGAAAAACCGATTGATATATACATATATGTGGTTTAATCTGATCGTTTTTTTTGGTTATGTCTCTGTTATGAATTACACAAGTTTCTAATACAGTTCCTTGCCAGTAGCTGTATATTTTGCTGAAAATAAAATGTTAATCATGACATTTCAATCAAAATCCACTTTCTTTCCCAGAGACGGTAATCTTTAAAATATCTATACTGATGGTTTGTTGACTGTTTAATTTTCTGACTTTTCGATTTCATATCAGTACATTTTTTTACAGCTTTTTACATGAATTGTACTTTAATTGGTATATCATAGTTAAGCACGACCAAATTCTGACCATTTTATTCTTTAGAAATTTGCAAGTGAAGGACTACGTACCTTGTGTCTTGCAATGAAAGATCTTGAGGAAGAATACTTCACACAGTGGAAAGAGCGGTTTGAGGAAGCAGTGTAAGTTATATTTGCAGTGTGATTTTTGACCCTTTAACTCTGTTGTGGTATGCATAATGGTCTTTGTTTTTCAATTTTATGCATGAAGCAAAAATTTTTCACTCTGAAGTCAGGTTTTTTTAATATAAAGATTGTATCTTATAATTTTTATTTATTTTTTGTTGTTACGTTTTAAAAAATTACAACTAAATAAAGAATACATATTTTTAATAAGTATTTTTTAATTACAATTATTCTTTACTCATAGTTCTAAGTTAAACATTTTAAAGATTGCTTTGAAAAACTATTAAAATGAATAAGGCTTTAAGGATTTTAGAGGGGATTCAAGAAAAATTTTGTCTCTAGTGAAGTTTTCATTGTGTGCTAATCATAAACATTTTGTGTTATATAAAAATTTTTGTAGGAAGGCTGATTTTTTGTACTGAAATGTACTACATAATGGAACAGTTTTGTATTTAAAAATGCAAATAAGGTACAGTAAAACTATTTTACAGACTGCCAGCCAAATGAGCAGGAGAAAGAAATGGCATTTTAATATATAAATCCATATTGTCTAATAATGAATTTCTGTGAAATCATTTTGACGTTGCAAAATATGTTTTCATTCAGAGATTTTTCGTTAATTTATGTTCTAATTGTTTTAGAACATCAATGGAAAATCGAGAAGAAAAGGTAGACTGTGTTTACGAGGAAATTGAGAAAAACCTTCATCTTATTGGAGCAACAGCAATAGAAGATAAACTACAAGATGGAGTCCCTCAAACCATATCTAACTTAGCTATAGGTGGAATAAAAATTTGGGTTTTAACAGGAGACAAACAAGGTAACATATAAAATAGATTAAAAACCAGAATAACATTTGTAAAACTTATCCACACCAAAGGTGAACCCAGTAATTTTGATCTGAGAAGATGTATGCAAGTTTTCCCACGTGTCCTCTTGTAGCTTTCATTGATATATATACGTTTTTATTTTGGACTCCTCAAATTGACTGTTTAGCTTATGGCTACAATTAGCAAGAGTAAATACCATTTTCATCTATAAAAGCTGATAAAAAAAAAAAGTCTTTAACCCAGCACTAACAGTTCTTAGGCTATCTTCTGTTGTGATACAAATGTCTGTTGTCTGTCTTTTTTTTTATAAATCTAAAGTAAAAAATCCTAAAATGTAACAACTTACGCAGTCTTTATGAAAGTGTCTGTATGTTTTAAATACATTTGCAATAATTTTTCTGATTGTTTTTTAACAGTTTTTTTTGTGTTTCACATGAAAATCGTTTTTAAAATATGTTATTTATCAAATGGTTCAAATTATACTTGTTTGTATTTGAATGAGTTTAAACATACTTTAACTTTGAAATTAATTTAATCGGACATTAATAGAAAAACTAAAGTAATAACAAACTTTTGTATTTTTATCTTGTGTTCTTTCTTTCTTTTTCAGTTAAAGACATTGTTTGTTAATTACAACTCTTTAAATTTTGCCCCCCAGTGGCACAGCGGTATGTCTGCGGACTTACAACGCTAGAATTCGGGTTTCAATACCAGTGGTTGGCAGAGCACAGATAGCCCATTGTGTAGCTTTGTGCTTAATTACAAACAAACTTTAAATGTTGTTGGTTATCTGGGCCAGCTGTGATTTTGTTTTGTATTTTTTTTTCAGTGTTTTACTATAATTGAATTAAATTACTAAATTACCAGTGGATGTATACCCCGATGGTTCAGCAGTAAGTTTCTAGACTTACAATGCTTGAATCTGGGGTTTGATTTCATATAGTGAACAGAGCACAACAGGTATCCCATTGTGTAGTTTTGCACTTAAAACAAAAAACAAACAAACAAAACTGTGGGTTTGCACTAATATTTATAACTGGCAAATAAGGTATACAGTTAAGTATGGCAGCCATGTTGTTTATTGTATTAAACCCACTACTTTATAATTCTTTGAATAGTTAAGTAGAGAATTGTAGAAAATATATTTCATTTTTAAAAGCAGTTTTTAATTTATTTTACAAATTCTTGTTTTTAAGAATTTTAAGTATGATTCCTTTGATGATGATCAAGTACATAGTCCATGAAAGCTATGATGAAATATTAGTTTAAAATATTTATTGTCACACTTGCTGATGATTAAGTTGGATAAATCCAAATTTTGAAAGTATCAATTTACTGTTTTTTGTATTAAACCTCCATGCTGTTGTTAGTAGAAATTGATTTTTTAACAGAGTAGTTTTATTTTTATAATGATAGGACTTCAGTGTGCTTATTCAAAGGTCATGTAACTATTATGCTAAATAAGGAAAATAAATATTTATTTAGTATTTAATGTTAAAAGTTTAGTTTTGATATAATTTTCATCAATAGAATAGAACTTTTCTGTGGTCGTGTTTGTTGATGCACGGATAACTTCTTGCAGTTCAGCTTGAAAACTCATTTTTCCCATATTAAATAGTTTATTTGCTGCTCTTTCTGTTAATCACTTGTCTGATATTATTTGATATATTCTAATCAAACAGGAGAAACATATTTAAGACACACGTACAGATTTTGAGTATACTAATATAAAAACATAAGTTATTGATTACAAACAAATCAGTCAGAATGAAGTTTCAGAAAGTAAATTTTATGTTAGCTGAGGGTAGGATGTAAGAACATACTTACATGTAACTAAAGCTAAGGTATCCTCTTTATTATTTTTTGCTCCAACTATTGAAAAAAAAGAAAAGAAAAGAAAATTGAACCTTAAGTAGAATTCTATAAATTATGGAGAATACATGTAAAACGGACTTAATGATATAAGCATTTTCTTATGTTAATGAGATTACGATGTGTATGAATGTTAAAAAAATTCAAAAGTATCTTTTATTTCAAATTGCAGAAACTGCCATTAACATTGGCTATTCCTGCCAACTACTGACTGATGAGATGGTAGATATTTTCATTGTGGATGGGAATGAAGACTATGTAGTGAGAGACCAATTGAATAAATTCCAACAAGATATCAGAGGAATCTTATGTTCCAAGGATGCTCCTTTAAATTTAAGTACTGTTACTTTCACTGAAGTAGAAGAAGAATTTGGAGGCTTTGGTCTTGTTGTTAATGGTAACAGTTTAGTGCATGCTCTAAAACCAGACATGGAAGAACTGTTTTTGTCTGTAGCATCACAATGTAAAGCTGTGATTTGCTGCAGGGTGACACCATTACAGAAAGCTCTGGTTGTTGAACTTGTCAAATGCCACAAGAAAGCAGTTACTCTTGCTATTGGTGATGGAGCTAATGATGTCAGCATGATTAAAAGTAGGATATTTGTTTTTGCTTAAACATACCTGATTACTGAAACAGAAGAAACATATTTTACATCTGAAACACAAGTTGTTAGAACTTGAGTAGTGATGAAAACTGAATTTCATAGTTTCTGAATGCATGATATGTGTGTGTTTGTTTTTTGCCAGACATAACTGGCCTAAGTAAAAAAAAAAGATTAAAAACCCCAGTAACAAAAATTCATATATTTTACACTTACTCATTAATGTGAAGGATGCAGTTGGTTTTTCTGGGATGATTTAAGAATATATGGTACCATTTTTGTCAATTTGAAGGGAAGAAAATATTGGCTAGTCTATTCATGTAGAGGGTGAAATTATAAGTGAGGAGAGTAGTATGTATATGTATGTGGAAAGCTCGGAAAGGGATTATTAAATATTTTATGATGTTTTATATTAATTGTGTCGTGTACCACCGACATTAGCTCTACGTCCCACCAGTGGTACATGTACCACAGTTTGAGAATCCTGCTCTAGAGCAAATAATTCACTTTTTTCTGTCCAATTTCTCAACTGTGCATTTTTTTCAAAAGAAACTATTGAATTTTTGATTTTGTAATTTACTCTCCACATTAAACAAATTTCAAATAGTAATACTAAAAAATGAATATGTTTCTATGCAGTTTTTTTTGACTGTCAAAATTATCTTCTACAATGTGGCTGATTTATTGTGAAAAATGGCTTGTGACTGATACTTGATTAGATCTCACCTTTTTTGCTGCTTGCTTCTAATTGCTTGACAATACTCTTGCTACTTTTTTATGCTATTGTGTTCTCACTCACATTTATGACTTTGGATTTTTGCACATGCATGTAAATGTTAACTACGTAAACGGTGCACACTGAGAAAACAATTGTTTTATTTTTCATTACGTATAATAATTTTTGAAGTTTTATTTCACAAAGTGCATAAAATATGTAACTTTTAAAAATACTCTTATTTAATTTTAGACTTTTGTATGTTCAACTTTCACACTTTTTCATGTCTTTATGCTGATGAGTAAAATTACCCTCAAAATAAGCATTAGAACAATGTAATGTGGTATTTTATTTGTGCAAGTAATTTGAAGGGTTGATTTTTGTTGTAGGTTCCTTATGATCTTTTAATTTATAAGTTTATTCAAGCACAGCTAAGTTGAAATTACAAAAAATACTTAACAATTTGGTTTGTTAACTGAACAACCCAAGTTTCTAGTTCTTTTTTATTTGTATGACTTTTGCTCCTACTTTCAGCTGCCCATATAGGTGTTGGTATCAGTGGTCAAGAAGGGATGCAAGCTGTTTTGTCTAGTGATTTTTCTCTTGCCCAGTTTCGGTTCTTGGAGAGGTTACTTCTGGTTCATGGCCGCTGGTCTTACTTCCGTATGGCTAGATTCCTACGTTACTTTTTTTACAAGAACTTTGCTTTTACACTTTGCCACTTCTGGTTTGCTTTTTTTTGTGGGTTTTCAGCACAGGTATATTAATTTTTTAAAGTGTTTTCAAGTGTTGTAGTATTTTTATTCATAATAAACATAAGAGTAAAATATTATTTTGTGAATTTTATGTTTCAAACAGAATTATATATTGTATAATGTTACTAACATATTTACATAGTGGTGATAATGCAGTAATTAATATAGCCTTTCTGTGCAGTTAGTGAATTATCAAACCATTCACAGTGGTAGTGGTAGTTCCTGGTTGTGAATCACATTTAAAATTCGTAAATTACTATTACTATAAGGAATCATTAAAGATTATTCATTATTATATTACTTTACACTGTGAAGCAATCAGTAGTTTAGTGTAGTCTTAACAAAATGTTAATTAATGTTCTAGTTGAGTATTGTTTTTGATAATTTTCATTTTGTTAATAAAATGCAATTTTTTCCTTGTTTTCTCAGCATGATTTGATTAATTATTTAAATATAGAGTACTGGTGTCTTGTGCATGTATTAGTTTCTTAAACATTTATAGCTTATTGTTTTGGAAATTTTTTTTTATATAAAAAATAAGTTGTTGATATTCAAAATGCCTTAGGGTGTAGTTAAAAGATAAAGATTTGTAAGTTCCATATAAAACGTGTGTACTGTAGCATGAAAAAAACCTTAGAATACACTAGTGCTACAGCATGAAAACTTCTAGATATGAACAATGTGTTCTGAAAGTTTTAATGAAATTCGTGATATGAATGCGTTTACAAGTGTTAAACAAATGCAGCTACAGCAAGATAAAATCTGAAGAAAAAAAGAAAAAATTGCAGTAAGAGAAAAAGGATTAAATATAAATGACCTTCACTGGGACCTAAAGTGTTATGAAACTTTGATAATAAAGATAAAAACATTCTTTATAAATGATTATTGTAATCAGAACTTGTGTAATAATTGAAATACATGTACAGTGATTTTCTGTACATAATTAAAACATACTTTTTGAAGCTGTCAACAGCATCCATATGAAACAAACTAAGTTTCAACATTACCACATCATCTTAAATGATGACTGTTGATGACTTCAGTAAATACGTTATAACTCTGTACAGAAATAATGTTGTATTTTAATGAATTATTTGATTTTCCATTAATGTTGTTTTCATTGTATCTGATAACATAACACCTTTAACAGTATGTTAGTTTATTGTAATAAAGATGCTTTAAAGTGATAATTTTATGTTTGAATTACAGACTCTGTTTGATCCTGTATTCATCTCTTTTTACAATGTGTTTTACACCTCTTTACCTGTCCTGGCTCTTGGCATTTTTTATCAGGTTAGTTATTATCATAATATTGTACCTGCTATTTTTTTTAAAACTTCATGTAAACATTGAATGGAAAAAACAATTCTACTGTCACCTCTTATTTTATGATATAAAGAATGTTTTATAACTGTTTATCAACATTAAGTCTGAGGGCTTATAATGCTAAAAATCAAGTTTTGATATCATGGTGGGCATAGCAGAGATAACTAATTGTTTAGCTATGTACGTAATTACAAACAAGAATAACACAAAGGTAAACCTATTAATTTTTTTCTTTCTTTTGATCAAATGTTTTACTGCTGTGAAATTCCATAATGTTAACCCTGGTTGTTTTAAAAAATGTGATGAAACATCAGTTATTGATTCACAACAGATGTTTTTTTTCATATAATCCTGTGCATTTTAATGTCATATTTTATCACATTTTGTAGAACCCAAAATGCTTTTACATTGTACCAGCTTAGACATTCAATATCATAAAATAATTTTTCTTTAACACCAATTTAAATGGGGATGGTACACATGTATTAGCATGCTTTGTAACATATTTGTAATTGTAATTTATATGATAAAATTACAATGCATAAGAAACTTATAAAAAAGTTTAGTTCAGAAACATTTATTTGAATAATGTAGAAGTGTTTGGTTAGTATTATAACAGCAGCTTTGTGTCTACCCTCAGGATGTGAATGAGAGGAACTCTGTCCAATATCCCAAGCTCTACAGTCCAGGACACTTGAACCTGCTTTTTAATAAAAAAGAATTTTTGAAAAGTGTGGTAAATGGGTTAATTTCTTCTTTTGCTCTCTTCTTCATACCATATGGAAGTTTTTTTGAAGGTGTGGCATCAGATGGTGTAAATGTGGATGGACACCAGTTATTTGGTACTGTGGTGTCAACCATCTTGGTGTTAGTAGTCACTGCTCAGGTAAGCCCTCCGTTGAAACTTGTGTATCTATGTAACATGTGCTGAAAAACATATTTTATAGAAAGATTATTCCATGAAAATTACAACACTGTTCAGTGCTATTTTTGGATTTGGCCAAAGTTTTTAACAGCAGCAGATGTGTAAAAAAAAAGTATACTATTTTGCTTGTAGTATAAATTTTAGATTTTTGAAGACTTAAATGCATATAATGCCAAAATGTAAAGTTCAAAGAGACTTGAACTAGGTTATAACTTAATTTAACATAGTAGGTCACCAGACTGCTCAATATTTTTTGGTACTGGTATTAGAAAGTGTAGTTTGTGTATAATACCTATGTCTAACGTAGATTTTTATAAAGCTTTCTATATGAATTAAATCATTAGTTATAATAGTTTTTAAATATTCTTCTACTTCACTCAGAATTTTAACATTTTTATAGGTGATGCTGGATACAGGGTATTGGACATTCTTCAATCATATTGTCATTTGGGGTAGTGCTATTTTCTTTTTTGCAATGACTTTTTTCATCAATAGTAATTTTATTGGAAATGCATACTTAGGCTCATTTCGGATGGCACTGTCTTTAGCACAGTTCTGGTTTACTGCTTTCCTCACACTTGTTGTGCTAATTGTGCCTGTCATAGCAATTAGGTTCTACTGTGTTGACAAGAATCCTACCTTATCTGATAAAGTGCGTCTGAAACAAAGAAATGACAATCGAATTCATGCTAGAAGATTAATATCACAGACAAGAGTGTCAAGTATTCGTCGAAGCCAAAGACCTCACTCAGGTTATGCTTTTGCACATCAAGAAGGATTTGGTAAATTAATTACAAGTGGAAAGATCATGAAGAATAAATCAATGCCCCTTCAACTTCCAAAGTTCACAAAAGTAGAAGTTTAGATATATATATTTTATACGAGTGAAGTTCAGGATTTGATACAACCTGCTAACTAATTATAACAGTTTCTTATAAAATTGATATGATTGAAAAGTTTATATCACATACAAGTATTTTCTATTTGACCAAATGTATGTTGACTTTAATTTTTCAGAAATAGAGGTTTCAGCTAATGTGAAAAATGTTCTAGCATCAATTACATGATGTAACATATCAAAAGTTCTTGTTTTCCTAAGAACTACAGGCTAATTTAAAGTTTTCATTTGAACATAACATTTAAAGCTTTTGAATTGTGTGTGTGATATTCTAATTAGTTTGAGGGTATTAGTAAGATGCATATGATGCTGTAAGAATGCATGCACTTGCAATATTAAACAGAAATACATTATTTTCAATGGGTTATATGTAGAATTTTTATAACATAGTGAACATTTCCACATTTATGGATTAAGTGTTTAATGACTTAAAGTATTTAATGAATTTTTTTAGATGTGTTTAGTTAATGCATGAGTATATCTATTAATACCTATTTAAAAACATGAAAGTTATTCTGTTATATATCAAGTTGTATTATTTTGGGATTGACAAATCATTAATAGCTACATTAAAATATATATATATATAGCTTGAGGACTTATTTTTTAAATAAAAGGAGTTGAAATAATCTATTATCTTCACACTACTTTCTAAAGGTAACATGATTTGTTTTCTTTAGTTCCATTTTCTTCTAGGTAATATTAGAAACTCACAATTGTGTATTATACCTACTATCACTCTAACTTCATAATTTAAAACTTAAACACCTGGAGCTAAAACTCTGTATCATAACTCATTGATCACTAAGCCTAAACTGTGACCACATTTTAATTTTAAAAGAGTAGCCATTAACTAGAGAACTATATTCATATATGCTAACTACCTCAGAGGTTATCTGAACAAGTTATTATTTAACCTTCTGTTTTCAAACTTGTTTATCCCAATGCTTTCTCTGACAGTTTTTATTAAGGTACAAATGCTTGTTAGTTTTTAAAAAAACGTCCAATTGTAGCAATTAATCTCAAGCAAACAAATGTTATAGTTGTATACCACATAAAGATTTCCACCATTCAAACTTGAAATGTGTAATGACAAAGTGAACAATAAATATGTATGTGAAAAAATGCCCTATAAACTTGTATTGAAATACTTCATCAATAAATCAATGAAATTTCTTACATGATACAAATTCATTATCTTTTTTTGTTAAATATTTATGCACGTAATCTCCCACTATGAAAAATTATCATTATTTAAGTAAATGTTTTGTCTGGTGGTCTTTTTTTTATTTTCAAGTCTTAGTTGTATTTTAAAGTTAATAAATAATTCTGTTTTGCATATTTTATTGATAATTCTTGGATGTTTTTTATATAATTTCATTAAGTTTGAGAGTATTAAACGTTACAAATATACTTGTAAATCTACAGAACTGAAGATAAAGGTTTACATTAATGATTTCTTTCTGAAATGGGAAGTTTTCAGATTGAATTATATTGTTATATTAATGTTACTGTTATATATATGTAATTCATTGAAGTCTGATTTGTTGATGGAATAGTAAAAGTTGTATATACCTTTAATGCAATCCTTGTCTAGTTTAAAACTATGTCTGTTTCTTTCAGATTTTCTAGCTGAATAACTGATGTTTAAGGGATTTTTGTTTGTAGTTTTTCTGTTCTTTTTCTAAGTGTATACACTGAACTTATGCAAAGAGGGTTGAAAGTTCTTAATTTGTGAATGGATGAAGAGATTGTCATACATTTATTGAGAGCACTAAGCACTTTTTAATTATCTCTTTCATCATTTATGAAAATTGAACTTTTATTTGTAACTTACATAATGTGTATTGTAGTTATTGTGCTTGTATGTAGTATTGAAAAGATTAACCTCGGAATGAAATTTTAACTGTAACTTGATTGTGTGTTAGTTCAACAATGGAGGGAGTTTAAAAAGCTGAAATGTAAAGTCTTGAATGATTTCAAAGATTAGGAGATATTCTTGGTCAGAACTGTTAATACCACTTATTTTTTAAGATCTTAAAGCATTTTGTTTGTTACTAACATATTTTTAAGTACTGTTAGTACTAAAAGCTTAGACATTTCATGATGGAATGGGAAAATATGTTGTGCCTTTGTCTTTAACACCTTTGTCATCTAACATTTAATATATTTCATAGGTTTAGTATTCAAAATAACAAACATCTGTAGACAAGAAAATAATTTGCAAAATGTGTGTAAATACTCAATATTTAGCATCTACTGAAAGATGATTATTGAAACATTTGTAAACTGCTACTCCAGTAAGTGTCCAGAAATACAAAGATTTAGTGGTGGTAAGTTGTATTTACAGACTGCATTTAAGATGGTTGTTTCCAGAATACAATACTTGAAGTAACATAATGGAAAGTCAATATTTAATTAATTAATAAATAAGACATTGTCTTTATCTAATGACAAATATGATTGCTTATTTTAAAACAACTTTTTCATCATTTTTAAAGTTAAAAGGTATTATTTTCCCAACAGTGTATTTTATAATAATAGTCCAGCTTATGAAAACAAATAACCAAATCAATAACAAAATCTGAACTACCCACTCTCCCAAATTTTTCATCTGGTATTAAATATAATTTGTGTAAAGGAAATAAAAACATGAAATTACTAATTATCACAACCATATATGTTTTGTGAAAAAAAAAAGTTATTATTTTTTCAAAGTAACATATCCATAAACTATTTCGTAAGAAAAAATTTGATTAGTTTCCACATTTTACAAGCATGTACATTAATTAAAAATGAAAACTAATTAAATAAACTGAAGCAAAGCAAGCAACTCATACAACATTGTTGTTTTAGATATCAAACACAACTTTTGTCATATTTTAACTTACCTTCATGGTATGCTAATTATCATGAAGTTTTGCTATTTGAATCGGTACATACTTTTCTCTTGAAAGTATAAACAAAATGAAAAACTAGAACTGAATCAAAATTTCATCCTTCATAGGCTCTATATAAACTGGTGGGAGCTATGTTTTTATGTTCAGTTTTTAGATTAACTATGATGGCATACATAGCCTGGGTTATATAATTTTTGACTTTTGTATGTATGTGGTATCTTCCTACTTTACTCAGTTAGTTGTCTTCAGAAACTCTGACATATTTTGTTAAAACTTCCCATGTTTGATTCACACACAGTATTTTGTATAATATAGGGAGAAACTGATTACTTACTCTTGTGGTTCGAACTGTGTTTATCATCAGCATTGTTTTTGATATGTTATCTTGAATTCAGAAAGTTGTTTATATTTCAATAAAAGAATAAATTTAAATATTTTAATGCATTTGTAATACTGATGTTAGTCCATTTTAGATTATTTATAAATAATTTGAAAAGTTAAATAGCATAAACTTGAAAACATTGGTTTATAGAAATTCTAACCAATTCCAATAAGTTATTTACTGTCCTTATAATTGAAATATATTTTCCTATTCAAAGAAATTGAAAACTTTAGTTGATTAGCTTGATTTTCATCCAAGTTACACATATTTTAAGATATATATATAATTACTTAATATCATCCAAAGTTTTTCTACCTCAATGTTGAAATTGGAAACAAACGCAAGGCCCAAATTGTTCTTGGACTTGTCACATTCCTCTCACCCATAAAATTAGACAAATGCAAATCAAAAGATATCACCAGGTTTTTTACATTACACAGGAGAAATTAGTTTTGTTGAAGTGAATAAATAGCTATGAATGTAGTAACTTCATCCTTTTTATAGTTGTATGCATATACATGTATGAGAAAACAGTTAAGATCGTAATTTTCAATTTTAAAGTTTGTTGGTTAACAGAACCCCATTTTACTTATTTCTTTATTATTGTTGTTGAAACTTTGTGTTTGTCATTTAAAGGAAGAGGTGTTAAGAGGTATATGTACTGCCTATTAATGTTTTTTGCCATAAATGTTTTTCATTGGTAAGTTAGCCAATATTTCATTGTATTTATAAAACTGATTATTAAAACGTTCCTTTTTTGAAATAAAGACAAAAGCCTCTGACTGACCACAAGTTACTTGATCCAAGAATGAAAAAAAGTAATATAACCATAACATTGGCTTTTAATAACTTTTTATGGGTACTATATTTTTTGTAGTTTATTTATTTTATGCTAGCCTCTGATTATGTGGTTCAATGTTTATTTAATATTTACTTTAAATCTTCCAGATATATTAAATTAAATACACAGTAATGGCAGACTAAGTGTTATGGTATAATCATAGGAAACTCAAACACTTTCTTTCTTTAGGAATAGGAGAGTGTAAAAAACGTTAACTGAAAAGGTACTTTCAAAAGGCAAACAAATTAGTTTTTTTTAATGTATTCTAAACTTTTTCATCATAATCTAACCAGTTTACCTTACTTATAATTAAGTTTTGACTAAAGTTAATTCAAGCAATTATCTATTAAAATTTCATTTCACGTTTTTTTAAATGTACTGCCCACTCATTTTATATTAAAATAAATATTTTAATATACAATGCATTCAAAAGCTAACACCCCCCCACACACGCATTAAAAACAGGTAGAGAATGTGGTCCCTATCACTTTCCAAAAACAGTTTAATTTTTTTATAAAACTTTCAAATACTGTTCAATTTCTTTTGGAACCTTGGTGGCTCAGCAGTAAACACCAGAGCTTAAACTTCAAAATTTTGGAATTTGGGGTTTAATCCCTCTGGCAGATATATATATATATCACATGTACTTGCACTTAAAACAAAATTCCTTTTGTTTCTAATGTTTTAATTCACATTTCAATGAATATACATTTGATATTCAACAACAAATCATCAGGAATCCTTCATATATTTAGTGAGTTAAATAAAACTATCATATATGACATCAACAAATAGTTTCCTAAAAATCACTTGTCCTTAATTTTAAAAACTGGTTCTTCAGCAGATATGTGTAGTATTGTAATATCAACCTAAAACTGTAATTACTTTGGATAGCAACAAGCAGTCATTTATTTGCAAAGTAATACTGTAGTATATAAACATACCATGAGTTACTGCCCACTTCTTATATTAATGTAGCACTATTCTAAACTAATCGGTTATTTCTGAATATGTGCGTAAAATGTGGTCAAGATCATAAAGTTGATTCATTATAGCTGCCATTTCTTTCACCATATTCTGGAGATAACACCTGTTCTGCTATGGTAGGTATGTCTGTAATGACAGCTGTATCCTCCAATGGTATGTTGGGTGACATCAGAGGTTATAACCTCCCTTATGTTTCAGTGGGTTTGACCTACAGTAGCATAGATGGCACACATTTCCTGAGAATACAGCATTATAGAATTTGGTATTTAATACTATGATCCTTTATTAGCTCCCAAGCTCAAGTCCCCAGTTTGGTAAGTGATGTTTAAGTCGTTTCTTTTTAAAAAGTAATAAGTCTCCTAAAGTTTAACCTGTAATGTTGACTAATCCTTATTAAACATCTTTATAATATAAATCCTGAAGAGTTGAAAGAGAACTATCAAGTAAAGGTGCTGTCATCCATTGTATACACACACACACACACATTATTTTGATTGTACTTGATAGTTTAAACAAAGATCATTTCTTTGTGTTTATGTACATTTGTGTTCAGTCTCTTTCTTTCTCAAAGTCGGGGAACTCAGATACCTGTCCTTTGTCGGGTTATGAACTTAAATGCTATGATAAATAACACAAAAATCCTAACTTTTACACAGTTTATTTTAATATAACATATTATTACTTATTCATTATTACCTCACCAAAAGGTTTAAAACTCAATATGCACAAACTTAAAACATGGTGTACACGGTATGATGGTCAGGTCAGGTCTGAGTGACTTTGTAGGAAGAGGTAGTGGATGTGCATTCTGTTACCCGCTTTCAACATCCAGCTCTTAATGTTCTTCCACGGTATTTCACATGATTAATTAACTGACAGTCATTGGCCGCAGAAGTGTCTTACAGGCCAAGGTTGAAACATCAAAGTAGGAAGTGGGTTTAATGCAAGAAATGGCTCTATAAGTCAGCCTTATCGTGGCTGTTAGAGTAGAAACTTCAGCCGAGTCAATGTATTACTGCAATGTTGGCAGCCATTTTTTTCCTTGCATTCCTCCATAGAGAGTGCTAGCACATTCTCCAAAATATATATGACATTTGTGTGTGCCCTCCCCAAATTTTGTGAATGTTGTGTTCTAGAAAATTTAATTAATAAATTTAGTTTTGTGTAAGGATGTGGCATCATTTATGAATGTAGTAAATGTTACCTTACATCAGAGATAACAAATGCCCAATAACAGCAATAATAAGGGTGGAGGGAGTTGCCTTACATCAGAGATAACAAATGCTCAATAACAGCAATAATAAGGGTGGAGGGAGTTGTTAACCCCCCTATCAACATGTCCTCTGTTCCAAACTATCATCCTGCAAAGTTTGGTTGAGATTGGCCCAGTAATTTAGTAGTAGTTAAATAATGGACAGACCTACAGATATTTGTGCTTTATATATATATCTTGTTTAAACTCTTGTAACGAAGTGGATTTTTCTAAGTGGAATATACTTTTATCTGAATATACCACACTACAAAGAAGATGAACTTTCACTTTGCATAAACATTAAAACTGTTTTCTTTATTCTAATTTAATTCATTAAGAAAAACAACTATGCAATTTAAATTGTTGTCTATCAGCAGTTGGGGACCCATTAGTTTTATGGACATTTTAGTATGTTTTACTTTATAATTTGTAAATGTTTGTATTTTTATTTATAAATGCTTATTAAACCAAGAACATATAGTAGAAATAGGCTAGTAAAAATTAAACTAGTGACAAAAAACTAAATCCATTTATATTCAGGATTTAATATAACCTGTAAAAAGCTATTAGGCCATGTTTAAACTTCTAAATATATATTTAATTACATTGAAACAAACTTACTGGTTCAAGCAAGCATGGCAAAAAAAAATCTGGTATATATGACTTACAGTTTAATTACGTGTATTTTCATAGTCTAAGTTTAAAAAAATGCACATTACTTTATACTTTTTTGTTTGTTAAAACCAGACTAGCACAAAACCGTTAAAGGATAATGGGAAATTTTAATATATTAGCTAAGAAAAAGCAAAACTTCTATTTTTTAAATAATCTCGATTGTCATTTACCCCTTTGTACTTTAGTTGCATGCTTTAAATAAGTTTATAAGATTCTAAAGTACCCTCGACCACACCCTTGTAAGAAGTTTTCAGGTCACCTTTAATATCTGATGTCACTTTATAGGATGCAATGTACCTCCAGAGAATATCTAACACTGAAGCCACTCCATTTGGTGAATCCATTATTTTCCCTGAAAGGGGGCCAAAGGCTGCCTAGAGAGGTGGCCTGTTTTAACCACTTGCACCATTATACAGTAGGGTGTTGTCTGCCAGTCAGTCAGGTCAGTAGACATTAAAATGACATCACATAAGGGAAGCTTAACATTGCAATTTGTGCTGTCGTGATGTCAGTAAAATGTGCACATGCCATGAATTGTGCACTCTGTAGGTTACAACACAGCATGACGTATGAACATGAAAAGCAAGAAATAATATTTGTTACTCTTTAATTTTGGTTTTCATTCCTCTGGAGACACAACACTTTCAGGGACCCTGCAGAAGTATATCTAGTCTTTTATGGAATGTTTCAACCAATTTGGCACAGTAGCAGACATTATCATTCATTATTCTAAAGTTAAAGTATACTGTACTAGCAAATGGTAGCACAAAGGGTTATATTGTAGGATGTGATACCCATAATGTGTGGCGTTAATGGATAAATTTCACGCCACTGCCAATTCCTGCTTACACCATACTTCCATCATTGTCTTATTCCTTTATACAAATGGAGTTGGACTTATCTCCAGATTCTCTCCAAGTGGTAAGTGCATACTGTTTTGTGTCACGTTGCAAGTGAAATACACTTCATTTGGCATACAGATCAACTTATGAGGTCTGCTTCTAACCATCATTACAATTGTACCATTGGTTTGGAAGTGGTTACTTATTCTGTTTATGACACTTGGAAACATTGAAAGTCTTTTTTCAGGTTCAGCCATGGTTCATGTATAACATGTGCCACTTTAAACTCTGTGATTCACCTCAAACTGACGACGGAGATAAAATCATGCAAGAACACTACTTGCAACATAGGCTGAAGGATTATTCTTTTGTATTTTAGATCACATGACAAATCATGAAATGCCCAATTTGCATCACTTAGAACTTGGTGAAAATTTCATAGCAATGGTTTATGCCTTGTTATAGCTGTATTACAAATTCTAATTACACCCAGTTTTGTGTAGTGGGGTTTACATGTAAAGAAGTTAAAGATTTTCTCTTCAGAAACAAACCTGTACACTTTAAATAGACCATTTTATGTATATCAGTATGTGTCATAAGCCAGTCTAAATGACCGACCAATTATATTGTATGTATTTTAACAATAAATAATTTCATCAGTTTCATTCATAAACAACTTTAATATATTTTATTTGGAATGTAAAATGAAAATTAGTGAAAGTTACTAAAATAGTAAATTAGAAAATAAAAATAAAATAACTGAAATGTTAAAAACACTATTTACAACTACCACAAAATCAGGGAAAATCAGTCACTGTTTTGATATATCCCTGTTGGAAGTTACTGATAAACTTAAATTTCTTTATACTTGAATTATTTAACATTTATTTTTACAAAAATGCTCTACTTTGCTTATTTCGTGCTGCATATTTGTACACTAACAGTTTATCTTTTTATCCAATGAAGTCATGACAGCAAAAATCCTTAAATCAAACAAACTGTTCATTTATTTGGAGAAAATGGCCATATTGAAATACTGTTCCCAATGATTTTTAAATATTTGAAAATGAAAGAGAATACAACAACGCACAAAGAATGATTTTTAATATAAATGCTTTGGTTATATCATTTCTCCCTGGGAAGAAACATACTTACAGCTTAAATGTATGAACATTAACAATGATGTATTAAAGTAATAAAACATGTCAACTCTAACTAAAAATCTGATTCATGCAGTATCATGGAATTATGTCTAATACATACGTGAAAATAACATTTTGCATAAAACAAAATACAACTAGATTGAAAACAGAATTTAAGTTCTCTGTACAGAGACGAACAGGTTTTTAAACTGAGCGTTTTTTGTTTTTTTATCATCTTCAAATACACATTCGCTACATCACACCTCCTTTGCTGGGCTCTGGTATCCAAGATTGGCGATTTGAGCTTAAAAGATTTATTATACTAAACATATGACATTCACAGCTTTACAAAGATTAAAACTTCTCTCAATTATGAAACAGTCCAAAGATTTATTAGGTACAGCAGTCACATGAAATCTTTGCTTTATATTAGTTATATAGAAATAGTTTTAGTGTTTTGAATTTTTGCTTATTGTACAGAATCAAGAGTGCTCCTCACAATAAAGATTATGTAATGGATATTTATTCATTAAAGCCCAATTTGAATAACAGTTGAGCTCAAACATGTCACTTCATTCGTTTTTTTATACCCATATACATAACCACAAAACTTTATAATGTTGCATTATAAAGAGTGCTCCAACTCAGGACTGTACAACTTCAAACCAGCAGTTGGCCACTTTGCAACTTAGCAATATAGAATCCTAGATTCTAAAACTGTTTGACTGTCAGAAAATATATTATCTGTATCTGTCCATCATATGTTTAGAGCTATGAAATAAATAATGAAAGTAATACACACACACACACACACAAATAATACTTTGCCTGTTTAAAAATTGAAATAAGCCAATTAATAGAAGGATTCTTGCAATGCTTAGGGGGTGGCCTGCCAGTTGGATAGCCCTGCTCTAACCAATACTCACCAGCATGTGATTGGAAGTAACTAGCTTCTATTCTGTTTTGAAAAAAAAATCACAAGATTTCATTCAAAAGAATACCACTATACAAAGAAATATGATTTATTTTTCACACGTATCATATAAACAGTATTCAGGAAGTCCTTAATTCAGTTATTTTACATTCTTTTGTAAGCAGTGAAGATTGTGAACTTAAATGCAATTGTATAACCTTAAATATAAAACTTTCAATTTTCTCTTTATATCTTAATTTGAAGTTTTTGATCAAAAGACCACAACACATTAAAAAAAAAAGAACAAAGAAAGGAAAAAAGATATAATCCTCTATCACTACAAATACTTAATATATTCAGTATAAAGTTTTTCTTTCTTGTCAACCATCTTCTTTGGGAGGTGTAAACCAGCCTGAAAAAGAACAAAAACTAGTGTCTCTAAAACACAAATATTACTTATAAAAGCTCTTACATGAATGATCTGGTAAAAACCATCTTTATGTATTAACCTTCCTATTCTTGGTGCAAAATAAAATCACACAAACATGTTTGATTGTCACTAGGATTCTGCCAGACTTGAATTATAACCAACTATAACATATCTTTTTTTATTTTATTGGACTATTTTCAGAGCAAATTATAAAGGTACTTGCAGAAATTAGAACAAATAAGTAATGTGGTATCCAAAAAATAAAAGACTCATCTTGATAAACAGTATAATTATATAAATATCAGGCCAACTAACAAATCCTGCAGTTAGTTAATTATAAATAAAATATATATCAATAATTGGCTAACTGCTATCCAACTAAAGGAAATATTTACCATTTTTCTCATGGATTTGGACAAGGGACCTAAAGGACTTCTGGGCATGAGCAAGACTGTACTGGGCCTGTAAACAGTAGAGACAGGGATGTATTACAGACAGAAAGCAATCTTACACAAATTAACAACCAACTAATACTGTCTTACATTAGAATAAGTATCAAAGAAACTTGTACATTTTAAGAAAATATGTCTTTTTAATTTACCTGTTAGTTAGTTTGGCTAAAAACAAAGCTGCTAGATATAACTTTGCCATAAATCAGGAGAATTAGCCATTAAATCTGACAGGCAAGTAGTTTTCAAGTATTGAATTCATAATGGTATGAAATATATATGTATTAGTTAAAGTAACAGTTTGCAAAATAAATAACACTCTTGATTTACAATTTACTACATTACAACCTGTTTTGGCAAGTACTCCTAACATACATGAAGTGTGGTAATCTCACATTCATTCGTTCTCCAGTTTAACTGTACAGAAATACTTCAAATAATGCCTGTGAGAGCCTTTAAAATAACAATAGATATTTGAAGCTTAAAATTTAACTGTCTAGATATAATTCACTAAAAACTGAAGAACCAACAACCAAAGTAAAGGCCTTTTAACAAAAAATGAAAAAAATACAGTCCATTTGGAAAATAAATCAAAAACTTGTGAACTGAGTTTGATGGTAAAGGAAATTTCAACTCGTACACTAATGCTGAGCTCCTAGGTAGTTCTTAAATCAGGAGATGAAGTTATAAAATAACACCAGAGGGTTTCTAACTCAAAAATGTGAACCTCTAAAGAGCACTATTTTATTTAATCACTAGAAGCAAAATCTTGAGTATTCATTTAAACACCTTCATCTATCATGCACTGTTCATTATCATAAATTTCCTTGATAGTCATATGTCCCAATGATTTCTATGTTTTTGCTGTTTAATAATGTGCACTTCTTCTTGGTGTTACCCTTCTCTGAGAAAGGCTAAAAGCTTGTGGTTTATTCTTTATTGTGCTACTTTTGATGTGATTTTAGATTGGTTTTTTAAGATTATTCAATTTTACTTTTTGTTTTATTGACTAAGCCTCTTCAGGTATTTATATCTTTCACTGCCACAGGTCACAATTTTTAATATTTGCTTTAGCCTTAAAAAGAGTTTGGAATTTTCCATCACCTTTAAGAAAAGGTATTTTCTTCAAACATCCCAAGTTTTCCAATATAAAATTTCAGATAAGTAATCAAATATTAAAATGTATTTTTTTTGTTTTTTACTAAATGTACAAAAACAAGGCTGGCATTGGGAGAACTGTTTATTTGTAAATACGGCAGTGACAGAACTAACTTCCTAATGCCACTTGATACTAGACATACTTTTCTAAAATTTTACCATATTCCACACTGGCAATTCACTATTTGAGTTGTTTTTTAGTTAGAGAGCTGTCAATTGTAGTTTTAATACAAAGTAAAGGAAATAATTATGAAAACACACAAGTGAAACAAATACACGAATCACAACTAGGTGGTGAATTTATTAATGATATGAAACATTATCACAGAAAATACAAGAGCAACCAAATGAGCTGTAAAATGCACTAGTATTTTGTATGATAGCCTTTTGCTTTATACAAAGCATTAAACTTTGTTTCTATGCTGCTATGAAGTTTATTAATGTATGATTGTGGAATGTTATTCTAAATGTTTTTTTTTTAAGCAAGCCAATACAGCCTGCAAAATGTTAATAATGGAACTTTTTGCATGTAAAGACATAGCTGTGAGTATTCCAACAGCCTTTCTACCAGTAATATAATGTTCCATCATACCTACTAGGAAATTAATCTCTGCCTGATGAGTCATATTTCTTAGGGAATGGCACAATGGACCATAATTTGCCTGTACCTGTTAGCAGTCAATGTGCCACCAAGTTTGTGGATTTCACCAGTCATTGGTTAAGATGCAAACCCAAACTTCAATGATATTGACTATGATACAGTTTCTTCTCTGCTGTCAAACAAACCATCGTTGATCATTGGCAAAAAATTCAAACTTGGATTTATCGAAAAACAGCAGAACATGTATCCAGCTTTTCTCATTCCATTGTTGTAGTCTGATGCCCATTTCAACTTTTGGGTTTGGTTACCTCTTCTTGGCACCAGTTTCAGAGCAGTTACACATACATTTAGACCACTATATGGTAATGTGTATCTTAATGTTCTCTAAGTAATATTCATACCTATATTTACAGCAATTTCATTGACAGATCTGTACTTGACCATTATTTATCCTGTTGAGAACATATGCTGAAATATTTATCATCACTTTTGAAGTGTTTCAGTTTTTTACCTTGACCACCATCAGAATTCACAGCACTAGTTTCACATAATCTCTGACTGAAATATGGAGTCTTGCTGCAAGTTTCTACATAGAGTACCTTTGACCAGCCATAACTTTGGTTTCTACTCATGTCATGCAATATTTCAGTTCTGGAATCATAAAACTACTACTACTGGACATTATTAGAATAATTGCCTTTATTTTAATAGGCTTTATATACTGGCAAGGTACTATCTGATTAGTTGGATGACAAAGAATGACAGTTCAAACTATTAACATTATTGCATTCTGGTGCAAATTTTACACAGTAAAGGGTGGTGTTCCTGTTGTATTTGCCTTTTTTTTAACTTTTTTCCTCACTATTTCCATAATTATTTACAATAATGTACATCACAAAAAAGTATTTTAGTTTAACTGCATCTAGTTTTTTCTTCAAATAAAAAATATATAAGAAGCAATTAGAAGTTTATAATCTCAAAATATTTGTGTGTATATATTACAAAACGAAACAACGAGTTTATTTTAACTCTTAATGATAAAGAGAACTTGTATAGACAAATAACAACACATAAAAAGGTTGATTATACTGGGAAGAAACTGCTTAAGTCATACATTTAAGCCATGCATTATCATAGTCTCATTTTTAAAAATGGAAAAAATAAATATGTTGTTGTCATGGGCTAAAATTATTAAGCTCTCTCTACTATTTATTTGTTGCCAATGCAAAAAAACTAAAAGTAAACCATACCGAAAATATGTGAAAACTATACAATAGTTGGTATTAAAAACTTACAAAGAATGCCACCAAACAGAAAGGCAAATAAACATGGAAAATTTATCAACTTTAATAATTAATGGTCCTTCAAAAGCCCATAAGAGCAACATTTCTATAAGACTAAGACTAATGGCCATTATAAACAACAGCCACAGTCTGGGTATTTTTGCTCATTTCTTCTGCTAAAAGTATTACAGAGTAACAGTGGGAAAAGCTTTTTCAACTAAAAATAGAGTAGTCAGAAGCCAAATCCATATTTCATTAATTACCAAGGTTAAAGTATTTCCTAGTATGCTGACTGACACTAGAAAACCATATTATCAAAATTTGCTCCACACTTATAAGCAGGATCATATATAATAATTCATTTGTACAACATATTTCAGTTTCTGGAATATTTTTTTATAAATAGAATTAAAAGATAAGCTGAAAGTTTATCCTATTCTTATGCATTAGTTAAATTAATCATGAAAATTTTTCCAAACCAACTGCATTAGATCTCAGTAATTTTAATTTGTTCAAACAAAAAAAAGATGGTGACACTTTCACAATGCTATATCATCCCTATACAATTTCCAGGACTATCCTGAGTTCTCACATTCAATACAGCTTTATAACTGAGATCTAATACTACTTCCTATTTTTGAGCATAATCACCACAGTACATGAAGAGATGATTATTTACCCACAAGTAAAAAGATTTCTGGTTTTACCTCACAGACATGTCAAACAAAATAAAAGGAAATATTTGCATAAACAAGTATTATCCGTAAACAACACAACTGATAAAACTGGATAACTAAACCAAGCTTTTTACTGCATACACAACTTGAGCTACAAACTCATGTAAACTGGGAATATTCAAGATATACCTTAAGGGAATTTTGATTCCTACAATACTGCATAAACACAGTAAAAACATACAGACTTGGTTGAATATGGTCCTACATGGACATTAAATCTACCGAGTCATCTGTACAATATTTGCTAAATGGAAACAAAATTCCCCGTAAAAATCAGTGATCTAAACAGCCATAAAAAAATTCTAGTTCTATGATTACACTTACAAAACTTCTTTTCTTACTTGTTTCCTCATACAAATTTATTGATATCATTTAGACTGTTACGGTTTAAATCTTTCTTTCCACACACACACAGACGCATCTTGAATTGATTCAGTTATGATATGAAGTAACACAAAAACTAACCCATTTCAATCAAAGAGTGATAAAAAATAGTAACATGTATTCATAAGAATATATTTATTCATTTACTCCTGATAAACAAAGAATATTCACTTTTGATGCACTTTACACTTTTACATGGGCTTCATTACTTTAAGAAACATTAAAACAAAGCTAATTTCAGTCACTTACATTGTTAACCCTTGTGCAAACAAACATTTTGTATTCTCAGGAACCAGAGAAAATTAGGAAAGTTAATGAATTATAAATTTTTGGTTGATTTATTGTATGTTTTATGAAAGAAAGGCCCTATAAATCATATATATCACTGGATTCAATGTGCAAAACCCTTATTAAAGTACATCCATATGATTTCAGGGAATAAAAAATATTGAGCATACTAAGTTTGCTCCTACGGTAGATAAGGGGTAATCACGATTATTTGAAATACTATAATGAAGAATGTAAAAATTGCCATTACTGGTACTTTGGTGCCAACAAACTTCACACGAGCTTTTCCCTTAACTAAAGTAGCAGCAATCTGCAGGATTATAGCTTCCACAGTGTAAGCACTACTCCAGCCCTGTAATAAAAGAAATAAACTCTTTCATCTGTACCTTAATACAGAAGTAGAAATTAGGTTAAGTGTCATTCTCTGATAACATTAAATCACAATATAGATCAACACACACTTAAAATTACTATAAATCTGAATGTATTTTGCTCAAACCAACAAGTCTGTCATCAGAGAATTTTATGTCAAAGCAAAATATGATGACATATTTCTTAGTATCTGTATAAATCTGAATTTAGTACCCCTAACTCAAGCTACAAGCATATCATCTTATATTGGATTTGACATTTCAATGTCAAATTTTTTTTACTACTAATCTCCAGTACTATGAACATACGTTAAAAACAAGATTTAAAATATATACAATTTGTATGATCCTACAAAAATAACCCCTTGGAAACGTGAAACTATACATATTATAATTCTGAGTTTACTTAGTGCATCTTCAGGAAATTTAGTAAACATTATAAGTCTGTTGTATACCAAAAAAAAGCAGATTGTTTAATAAAGCATTTCTACTGAAGATTTCTCTGTAAGCGTGAAGAGCCTTTACTGATTCAGTCCGAGTCAAAGGTGACTTTCATGTAAGAATAAAGATACTGTTTTTTCATCTTTTGTTTCATATTTTACTTGCATAGCCTCCAGGACTTGATAAAGGAATATGAAAAGTTTTTTGGTAAAACTTTATATTGCATCTCTTTTCTCTACCCCAACACTAACTGTAGCAAAATCATCAATGTACGGTAAAACAACAAGCTGAAAAGTATAAAATCAAATCAATAACACCCCTTTCTTCCACAGAATGAGTACAGGTTGTAACAGACAATTACAATTACTTATCTTAAGAGCCTCAGCTTTCTAATCTTTTCACAACTGTTTTCATTTTATGGTTTTATCACTGTACTTTGGACCCTCTCTTTGCATGAAAACCAATAAAATAAATCAGATGGATGTTTCAGGTACAACTTAGGGTAAACAAACGATTAAGTTACTGTCATATGCTAACTGAGATAACTTTTCTAGCTTCCTAGGTTAATTAAATTTTATTTAAGTTTTGTTACTTAACTTATGAATTTTCAATTTTTTTCCTTTTACTTACTTTTGTTAAAAAATATATGGCAAAATAAATAGAAAATATACATAAAAAATTAGAAACTTACAACTTGCTTTAGCATTGAGTGCATTTGCTCTGGGATGCTGTACTGCAGTAATTCTACTTTTTTTCTTACTATGTCTGTTGTCCAAAAAATGATTCATGTTGCTTTCAAATACGCATTTTTAAACACAAAAATATATCGGGCACAAGAACAGAATGTCCCAATACTACTATAATATTTTTGGCTTTCTAACTAAGTTATAAATATGTTAAAAAACAATTCCATCATTACTTGGAGCAACGATTTTACTCAACACAAAGTTTTTCTTGAGAGACTACAGTCTTTGGCCATAAAAACTAAACAGACTTAAGATTCCTGTACACTACAATATACTCTTTCTATTGTAAATATGTCTATCAGACAAGTAAGCATGAGTGATAATTTATTTGAAAATTTTGAAAAAGATGGGAGAGGCTTCTCGGGTGAGTTTGATAAATATATTATCGCAATAAATCAAGAAGATAGGACATTCAAATTTTAAACGTTTCCTTGTTCATATGCATAATTTGTACTTATAATTAGTTAGGCACTACAGAAGCTGTAGTTTTGAAGAT